ATAAGATATTATATAGAACTGATGTGGGAGTTTAATTTCCCCTATTTTATTTGATAACATTGTCTAACTTAGTGTCAGAAAACATTGTCCAACTCTCAGAACCCCAGTTACATCAGTTAGGATGAATTTTTAAGAGGAAAATCTTAGAGTGCAGTCGAACATAAACATGTGCCATTAAAGAGCTATGTTTGCTTTGCCAGTTGAGACTTGTTTCTTTAGTTCAAGTAATGGTTTAGGGGTTATTTTAAGGGCACTTTGGAGATTGTGTTGTAGGAATGTTACAGAGTAAATTTTGAGTGTGATATGCCCATTTGACCTTAATTCCAACATCTGATTTTGCGGGGAAAAGAATCTGTCATGCACTGACTACCTGTATTCCTCACCTGAATTTGGCTTCTTGAGCTGCTGAATCATATGTGGATGCCAGTGGTCCTCGTGGACCAAATGTGGCCCAGACTCCTTGTCGCTGATCCACAGGAAGCTGAGAGAAACTGCGCTGACTTCTGATTAACCTTTAACAGCAGCAGACACAGTGTTTCCTATAAGTCAGTGTCTCATCTATTTTTGTTGTTTTGAGAAGATCATTCTGAAATAGACTGCTAAAAAAAAATAGTCCACTTATTTATTTTTTTTCCTTGACCTGCTGTTCACAGCAAGTTGTGAAGGTTGGTGTGTGCTGAGAACTCGCATTATGGTGAAATGGGTTGTCAAAAGGTGGGTCTGTTGACACAGAAGTTGGGAAGCATTTTTCTCTAATCTCAAGGAGGATCTGTGTTTTCTCATCTGATTTTTAGATGTAGCAGTGAAGTTATTTAGATACTTGTAAAGGATATGATATTATAGGTTTAAGATAATGTGACAAGTTGTGTTTCTTTACTGAGATTCAGTCATAACAGTTCTGTCCTTAGTGTGTATCCAGCATCTGCTGGCTTGATGGTAATCACAGATTTAGTTCAGATTCCACAGCCTTGTGCTCAAGGATAGTCAGGTACTACTTGTAATTATTCTGTATTATAATTGTACTTGGCTGCAAGTAACACTGACACAAAGAGCAGTGTCCTGAAAGGCTAGAATGGCCACTTAGGGTTAATATTATGACTTCTAGTTCAGCCTCTTTTCCGTTCTCAAGATTCATCCCATAATCACACAGTAGCCTTTGTAGTTCAGCCATGACTTCTATATTCCAGGCAAGAAGACAGAGGATACACGAATCAGTCACCTTTTTAAATAGCTTTCAAGTTCCAAACCTGCACCCAATAATTTCTGCTGACCAGAATTTAGTCACTTGACTACCCAAAGATGTCAGGGAGGATAGGGGATGTAATTGTCTATTGCTGACTCATTACTTAGGACTTCCCTGGTGGTTCCGTGGTAAAGAATCTGCTTGCCAAAGCTGGAGAGCAAGAGACGCAGGTTTGATCCCTGCCTGGGTCAGGAAGGTTCCCTGGAGAGGGAAATGGCAACCCACTCCAGTATTCTTGCCTGGAGAATCCCATGGACGGAGGAGCCTGGTGGGCTACAGTCCATGGGGTCGTGAAAGAGTCAGACATGACATCGACTAAACAATAAACTCATCACCTACTCCAAAAAAAGCCACTCTATTTTAAAGAAGAAGGGAAAGACAAGTATTAGTAACAACCTAGCAGCTTCTGCCACCAGTGCCTTTTATGACTTTTGCTCCCATCTGCTGTTCTAAGCACTTTACACTATGGCTCCATAGAGCCTTGCTGCCTCCTGAGAACGCCCTTCGTTGTCCTCCTCTCAGCCTTTGCTCGCATTCTGAATGCTTTGTCTCCCATCTCAGCTGCCTCTGCTTCTCTCAGGTGTTGCTCAGATCACATTTCCTGCAGGAAGCCTTTCTAGGACCACAGTCATCGCTACCCTCTGCCCCTCCCCCCGCCTTTCATCTCGTCTGTCACAGCTCTTGTTAACTTTCAGCCAACATACTAAAATTTCAAAGTTAGTTTTCATATCCTTTGTGATCCCCTCTTCCCCCTCACTTGCCTAGTAGAATAATTGCATCTACTCAACATTTAGTACATGTGTATTGAATTCCATTTCAGACCTAATGCTAGCAGGATAACTTAGGAGAAAGTCTTTTTGTGCAATAAGGGTGTTCTTTTTGTAAGGCAAAAAAAGAGATACATCAGCATTGTGAGTATCCTAGTCTGTTTAATAGCTGTTGACTAATATATAGGTTGTCTGTTACTTCAGTGAATAGTCTGTTAGGTAGAAGTGCAAATAGCAGTTTGTTTGAAAATACTGGCTCCCTAAACATGTAGGAAACATTAACAGTCTGGGCCTCTTGGAACGAGGGCATTTGATGTGCCCGAGATTAGGGCACTCCACTCAGAACAAACAATGAAGAAGGAAGAGGGACAATAAAAACCTTTATTTCTGAAAAGCACCTGAAAGTACTATAAATGGATGGACTTTAGGCTGGTCAGTGGGTCAAAAGACAACACAGCCTGGGTGCCTCATATGTAATTGTTTGATAAACTTTTTCATGCGCTACTTTCTAAATTTATTTTTCATGTTTCAGAGATATTTTCAAAATCCAGTTATTTGGGGAGGTTTTTACCTTGACTTGCATTTAATTATTTTGAGGTGTTTACTTTTTTCCCCCTTCTTCTTTTTTAAAAATCTGTTTTATTCCAGTCTAGTTGATTTACTAATTTTTTTTTTTTCAATATGGCACTTGGGATGTGCCTGTGGTAACAATTCAGGTTGTGTTCATATATAATTGTTAAGATTTATGGAACATCTTTCCTTTAAATTAAAAAAAATGTTTTAACTTGCATTTCTTGATTGGGCCTGGAACTTACATAAAGGATAGCTTATTTCTGGGACTTCTTTTTAAAACTGCATATAAACCATCTACCAGGTATACAGTTGACTGAAGCATAATGTTGGAAGGACCTCCTAGATAGTTCATGTCTTCTCACTGCTTTCTGTTGAAAGTCATGCCGTATCTAAAATTGGATTTTTATGAATTTCCCCAGTGTATTTCTCTACCACTTATACTTGACTCTCTGCTCATCATTTCTTTCTGCAGGATTTTACAGTAAATACCTATGGAGCAGCAGTAAGAATTAGTCTTGGCACAGAGTTCATTTGGGATTAGTAACAGAGGCAGGAAAGGTGTAAAACTAAGATTAGCAAAGAAACCTGTGGCGTGCTCAGCAAAGGGAGGGTCGGTGAGTCAAATGAGGAAATGTAGAAAACGCCAAAGATAAAATGCACAACAGTTTCATAGGAGTGTTGGTGTTTTGAAGGAGATCATGTTTGAGAATTGCCTAAAAATGGGAGCATCTCCCAGGATGGAGAAAAGTGTGGGCTCATATGGAAGGGAACAGGTAGATGTCAGGTATTGGAGACAGGGTCACTGTTGACCCCTCTCCCCTTGGTCTTTAAGACCTATTTGCTCTTCACGTAGGGGTTAGTGAAGCCCATCTCTTCCTGTCAACAAACATAGATCATTTTATCTGCGTGTCAGACTCCAGTTCATCCTGCATATCATCACCATGCTAATATTCCCAGGTTATTTTTATCAGGTAATTCTCCTAAAGATAATGATGAAGTGTTCCCTTCTTGTAGACAAAGTGCATATTCCTCAATCTGAAATTTAGGGAACATCTTGATCTGGTACCACTCACCTATGATTGTCTACTTCTTATTCTTCCCCTAGTGTTTGCCCATCTCTTTGGCTTGATAAGCCTCCTCTAAATCAATGAGGCCCATTTTGCTGTATAATTCTTCACACCTTGGATGGTCCACTGTCTTCTCTGTCTACCTGGCTTCAAGATCCACCTCAAGACCTCCTCTTTGAGGCTTTCTGTACAACTCTATATGGATATGTGGATGATTTCTTCACAAATCCCACGTGTGCCACCATTTTTGCTCATAAATGTTACCTTGAATTAAAAACATGATTGCTTTGTCTTTGTGTCTAGATTGTAAGCTCTTTGAGACCAGTGACCACACTATACAATGATTTTTCATCTATTTTAATATCTGGTGTAGCACTATATACATATTTGGTATAGAGCAAGATTTCTCAATCTGGTACCATCACACTTGGAGCTGGATACTTTTTCTTGTGGGGAATTATCTGAGCACTGAAGGATGTTTAGCAGCATCACTGTATACTCATTAGATGCTAGTGGCACCCTGTTCCCAGTGTGACTATAAAAAAATGTCTTCATTTGTGCTGAATGCCCCATAGACAGCAAAATAGCCCCAGCTGAGAATTACTGTGTAAACAGAATAAATTCTTATCAGTATCTTGGCAGGAATTGAAGACTATGAAAATATTTGATGAATGGTTTAGAGTGTTTGGGGGTCCTGAATGATGACAAACTCAACTGATGGAAGATTGGCAATGTAAAATGGAACTTCCTCTTTTCTGTGATAAGCTATAGGAAGCCTATTATAGATTGATGAGCAATTATGATGTAACTTAAGGAAGGGCAAAATGACAGAAGTATACTGAAGTTGAAGTTTCCAAAATACTGAGTTTTAGTTTCTAATTCATTTTGAACCATTTTACACTTGAAAATGTCATTTCCAATAAAATATTTGTTATTTAATTGGAAATTTATCTAGGGTTCATTTTTGACTAGTGTCTTTGGATTGAGAACTATGTTTTGAAGCATATTTGAGAAAATCATTTTGAAATTATGGGTGCAGGTTATTGTAAAGTGATAACCATTGACAAAGATCAGTTGTATTTATATATAGTTTTCCAGTTTTTCTTCTTTTTTGGCTATTTGAATATTGTCCTCAAGTTTAGCAAAATTTCCAACCCCAAGCAATACGCATATAAGCAATACACACACAAAAAATACATGTGTGTGATTGTGTGGTCTAGATAGTGCTTACTGCTCACTCTGTTGTAAGTTCTTAGTTTTTCCTTTGATTATCAAACTAGTGCATGACAGATTCTACATGGTTGACGTGCTGCTGAACTAGAAATAATGCATGATACCCTCTTTCCACAGCTGTGTGCCAGCCACAGTGCAAACATGGTGAATGTGTCGGGCCAAACAAGTGCAAGTGTCATCCTGGATATGCCGGGAAGACCTGCAATCAAGGTAGGGAAACTCTGTGAAAAGTAAACAATCATAAAGCCTCTCTGCCCCTACCTGATATAGAAACTTAAGTTCTCATGCAGACCACTTTTCCATGACCACTGTCCCCAAACGTATGAGAGTCATTTCGCTGAAAGATAAAAATCTAATAATGATAAATCTTGCTAAATTATTACTTAATTGTGGGGCTGGTAAAGAATTTCATCCTTTCATTCACTATTAATTATGAAAATGCATTTTGAAAAAGAAAATGACAGTGTCTGTAGAAGTCTCACGTCTGCTCCTCCTTGGTCTTCCACTAACTATTTGGAAAACTTTAGCAAACTGTTAGCCTCCTTGGAGCTCTCTGAGATGAAAACACTTTGATACTCAGTCAGGTAGGAAGTTTGGCTTGAAACTTTGAGATCCCTTCCAAGTCTGAGCTCTTTAATCTTTGTGATTCAAGTCCCTTCAACTTTTGACCAGTTTGTAAGGTTCCTCTGAGAAATCACAATTTTGATTAACCTAACAAGTTATTTTTAATTTGGTGTCAGTTGCTTATAAAAGCAAATCTTTATTTAGTCTTCATGGTGCTAAGGTATTTTGCATATGTTACCTGTTTTTATCACTACAAAAGCATTAAGAGGTAGAATTTTATTTATTACAATTAAGCTATAAATAATATTTCATTTTTCACTTGACAAGACATTGTATATACTCACTGTTTTGTCCAAGTTCACAAAATTAGTTGGTAAAAGATCTATGTCAACTTAGAGCTGTTGTCTGTATAACGCATGTTCTTTCTACCAGTGTGTTTTGCATGGAGAAAACATTGGAAATGTGATCCTCTGATTCGCTGCATTACAAGGCTGCCAAGGCTTGTCTGTTTAATTAATTTCAACCAAAACCCTTCTACCATTTGGAGCTAAAAACAGATGTAAAGAAAAGATAGGGTTAGATTTCACTAGAAAGATTCAAAAATAAAAAGTAAAATTTTTCATTTATTCCTTAAAGTAATATTTCCTAATATTTTAAATGTCAAATGAAACAGTTTGTATAGGGTCTAACTGTCCCATAGATACTTAGTTGACCTCATCTGATACAGAAATGGTCTTGTTGAAATATTCTTGTTCATCAGCATCTGATGTTCCTTGAAGCATGTCATGTAAACTTGTGATTTATAGACGTAGTTTTCACAAGAATCAGGCCCACTGAAATTTGAAGGTATGGGTAATTGTTCCTGAACTATCAGATGAAATCCATGTGAGTGCAATGTGACATGTTTTTAAACCCATTTGATGTTAAAAACCCATTTAATTTTTCCTCTCCAGTGTAAGTTCTCAAGTAGCAGCATGTTCAGTTCTGATTATTGAGTTGTCAGTGTCCATCTTAGAGTGCCAGCATGCTTCTCTTTTTAAAATGCTGAACATAAAGCTTCGCAGGTTTCATTAACATGTCAGCACCATGAAACATTATCCTCATGCCAGGAATGTATACAAAGAAGAGTGTTAAAGGAAGCCACTGTTGGGGGTCAGAGAAATTCATTTGAATTTATTTGCAGGAGCTACAGCAACTTTAATATGATTCAGAGACACTAAAACTATCACTGGAACACGGATCCATCTCTGGGGAGCTCTGATTTTCAGAAAACTAGTTTACTGTGTACCTTTCCCTGCAATAATACCTGTTTCTCTTAAGAAAAATTGAAATATACCGAGTTGAAATCTTGCCTTCCCAAACTAAATAGAGTTGGGGGGGGGAGAAGATTTTATCAGTGACAAAATGGGATTTTACACCTGCAAAAATAGTGAGCCCCACTGAAAATGTAATTTCAAGTTAAATCCTGAATATAAAACTTGAGTCCACAGTAAACCTACGTGTTCTGATCATCGCTCTCTTTTCCTTTCTTACCATATAAGCAATTGTGGCAAGTTACATTCTTTGAGAGCAGGAACCATTTGTGGGGTCCCTCTGATTTCTTAGTTCCTGAAAATTTTTATCAAAATGATTTGCACATGGTAAGTGCACATGAAATATTTGCTTAGTGACTGTTTAGTATCATGGTCCTTGGTCCTAACACCATAGGAACTGAAAGAGTTCCCTGGAGTTGTTTGGTATAGCTCTTTATGCTTTGCATCTGTGGACTGTCACGGTCAGAGAGGCTGTCGCAGTGATCCGGGTAGCGACCAGAGAGCCCCAGAAATGTTGTTAAATATTAGAACTAAGTGTCTATATCTGCTACGTAACAAATTAACTTAGACTGATTTTATCCAGATCATACAATTTTAATAAAATGGAAAACATGCCTCAGAGATATGAGAAATCAAGCAGTTTTTTTTTTTAACCCAGGGTGTTTTTGTTTATTTTTCAGCCACACCATAAGGCATGTAGGATCTTAGTTCCCTGACCAGGGATCAAACCCGTGCCTCTTGCAATGGAAACACAGAGTCCTAACCAGTAGACCACCAGGGAATTCCCTGGTTTCTTTTTTCTTGAGGAGAGAAGTGTTAAGAAGAGTTACACTTGAAATAAATTTCCACAGAACTGGAAATTAGCATTTGATTAAAAGTAGGTTTTGGTATAGGGCAAAAATTATATCCACTAAAAATTGTGTCACGAGCTGTGTACTTTAAGAACGCACCCCTGGCGGCCTGCGTGAACAGCTGAGTGAACAGCTGGAACGGATGACAGGCACTTAATGAGGCTTTCAGAGCTGCCGAAGCAGAAGAGCAGGACAGGCCCACTTTGGTACTGGCCTAACTTAGAGGCTTTGGCACAAGATTAGTGTGAATCTGCTGGTCATGGCTTGTGCTTCCCTCTGGGTCACTCTCTGGATTTGCCATAGCCAGATCACATCGAAAATTGCAGGCGTGGATGTGACCATATTCATTCTAATCTGAACTCTGGCAAGAATTTTTTTTTCCAGCTTACTTCCTCTGGTAATTTTATTCATGAAGATTACCACCCCTTCCACCCACCTTGAGCCTCTGTACCCATACAAATCCCCTTTCTCCTCAGCTAAAAAAGGATACTATTATAGATAATAGTGTTTTTTTTATAACTTTCCCATTAGAGAATTATTTGGGGCATGTAATGTATCATATCATTGCATATTTTCAGGAATGAAACACATCCTGCTGAATTTACAGCATGCTTTACAGTATAATAATTTCAGAAGAAACAGTTCATAAATATCAGTTATTAATCTCTTGGCATGGTTTTTGTTTCAAATGTTGAATTCCTTATCCCAAGAAAAGAATTGGTATCTTGTACCAGGGAACCAGACAGTAAACTTTGGTAAGCTGCTACTGCTGCTAAGTCACTTCAGTCATGTCCGACTCTGTGCAACCCCATCCCTGGGATTCTCCAGGCAAGAACACTGGACTGGGTTGCCATTTCCTCCTCCAATGCATAAAAGTGAAAAGTGAAAGTGAAGTCGCTCAATCATGTCTCACTCTTCATGACCCCATGGACTGCAGCCTACCAGTCTCCTCCGGCCATGGGATTTTCCAGGCAAGAGTACTGGAGTGGGGTGCCGTTGCCTTCTCCGAATTAGGTCTAAATTATTTGCCTTCCTTAGCACAATAGTCAGAGTGCTTTAACACTAAGATTAAGGTAGTTTCTTAAGGCTTTATTTTTTGAATGATGTGCGGTTTCAACCCCAGAAACCAATATTCATTTAATTTGGAAATTTAACTGGCTATTAATAATGTGATAGTCTTGAAACAGGATGTGATTGCCTACTTTGGGACCTACTCACAATATTTTGGTAAGCTAATAATGGCAACACCATTTTTTTTGCAGAAAGCTTCTAATGTATATTCTTTTTTTCCCCAACCCTTTATATCTCAATCCTATCTGTGTCTGGGCAGGGTGTCTTACGTATATTCTAATTAAAAGTGACCTAAATGTGACATTAGTTCTTACACCTGAATGAATGTGTACATCATTGGTGTACATGTGTGTGTACATGAATGTGTACATCATGTACACATGATGTGTGTACATCAGTGGTCTATCATGTTACTTATTTAAATGAGATCTTTATGCAGATCATAAGTTTATGCATGATTATGTAAGGTTTTAAACAGTTGTACAACATACTAATATAGGAAAAGATATTAAGTTGGTCATTTAAGACCTAGATATACCTAAACAGAGCAGGTTGATTATAGTCAATTTTTGTATAATCTTTGAGTTTTCTCTTCGTTGATGACTAAAATCATCTTTTTAAAAACAGCCATCTCTTTTGTGTGTGTGCTTAAAAAAGTTGATATGAGGATGTGGATTGTTAACTTATAATGTTTGTGTGTCCTTCGGAAACAAGATGGCAGTGATAAATTTTAAGAAACACAGAAATTAAAACTGACAAAGAGAAGTCAGAAGAACTAGAAAGGTATTTTTGTAAAGTATCTAAAGCATTCTTTTTGAACTCCACCAACTTTATGTAATTGTTTAATGTATACTTGCAAAGATTTTTAGGGCTAAAATGACATCAGTTCAAAGTTGACTCTTATTACCTTCTTCCTGGTGTGAAGACGAACACCTCTACCCAACTCCTCTTGACCAAGGCAGTGAGCAGCCTCTTTTACAGCCCCCGGATCATCAAGCCACAAGTTTGCCTTCGAGGGGTGAGCGTGCGTTACCTCAGGTGGCCTGGCCCCCACCTGCACGGCTTCCTGCGGTGTTGTCACTTCTGGCCGGGGTCCTGAAGGCTGCCGCAGCAGCGCCCAGTCCTCCGTGTCCTGAGCATGCGAAGCGAGTGGCAGGAATTGTCACCTGGTGCCAACTCTCTGTGCTCTGAAAAGCCTGGCGCCTCTGCTGTCCTCCCCCTGCCTCACGTACCCGTTGCCTTTCTTCTCTTCTGAGTTTCCAACTGTTTCTCAGAGAATCAGATGACAAAGTAGCTTCTGTTTTCTTATGTAGGCGAAGTCAGGAATTCCACAGCACCTGAGACTGGGGGTTTGATGACTTCTGCTGAATAGATTTTAGAAGTGTGCAAGTCCTCTTCCCCACCACCACATTTGGGGTGTAGAGTTTTAGGTCACCTGGAAATCAGACCATATGTTAGCTTCCCACTTTTGGTGAACCAGCTTCCCTGGTGGCTCAGAGGGTAAAGCATCTGCCAGCAATGCGGGAGACCCGGGTTCAATCCCTGGGTTGGGAAGATGCCTTGGAGAAGGAAATGGCAACCCGCTCCAGTACTCTTGCCTGAAAAATTTCATGGACTGAGGAGCCTGGTAGGCTACAGTCCATGGGGTTGCAAAGAGTTGGACATGACTGAGCGACTTCACTTTCACTTTCTTGTGATATTAGCCTGAGTTCTGGTTACAGCGCAGGCCTTAGGAGGCTCTGTCATCGAGCTCAGTCATGTCTGACTCTTCGCAGCCCCTTGGACTGGAGCCCTCCAGGCTCCTCTGTCCATGAAATTTCCCAGGCAAGAATATTGGAGGGGGCTGCCACCTCCTCCTCCAGGGGATCTTCCTGACCCAGTGATTGAACCCGTGTCTCTTGGATCTCCTGTATTGGCAGGCAGATTCTTTACCACTAGCACCACCGTGGAAGTCCCAAGTAGCTCTGTAATTGTGAGCAAATCTTAGCATACCAATTAATTACAGAGTAATTCCTGTTCTTTTCACCTGCAGGGCTGGTGTGAGAATAGAAACACCAAAAATATTAACATCTTCATTAGGCTGGAAAGTTTTGTAGAAAAATTAAATGGCAGTATAACTTTACAGTATTTCTGAAAGACTTTTTTTTCCTCCCTCATAAATTTAGAAACTTAGAATGACTGAATTAAATTCATTTAAATTCTTGATTACTGCCTGTGCTCATAGGGAACTTGATTTGGATCAAGAAATTAGGGCAATAGGATGAATTTCAGAATCATTGAAAATTTAAGGGTAAGAGTTATGACAGTTGACATACTGAGATCTGTTTGCCTGTGACCTCTACTTGAGTCAGACAAAATGCAAAAGCTTATTAGACTTCTGAGGCATTGCATAGTTTAAACCTCAAAGAAAGAAAAAAAAGGCCCAAATTACATTAAATGAATGAAAGATGATATTCCTTAAAAATCCATGGCATTATTTTACTCAATGAATCTCTTCCAGATTTTCAAGCTAATTTTCAGTGTCTGCATGCTAATAAAATTTCTGATTCTTTTTTCTTCCTGAAGTGTAATTATAATGCTATGCAGCTTGCATTTTTGTCCTGGACCAGCTCCTTCCCGCTTCCCCCCTCCCCCAATCCAAGCTCCTGAATTCACCCACTTGCTTAAATATACTCCTGACTGTAATAGACACTCCTTAAGAGTTGTATATATAACAATGTGAGTATTTGAATGTAAGTGGTTTAATTGTAAAGTTCTGTCCTTGATATGATAAGATAGGTACATGATAGAAGTTGTTCATTTTTTTATAATAGATTTTCCTTACGAAGTATATTACATTACAAACTTCTACAGAAAGAGCAAAATTTAAGTAAATTTAAAATAAAGACACAAGTTTTCTTTCCTGCATTCTTTTGTCAGCTTTCAAGAGTGATCTGAGAAATGCGATCAAGGGGAATTTATAATCTGCTATAAATTATTTTCTGCTATAATCTGTTCTTTATAATCTGCTAGTTATTGTAGGAGCCATTCCTATAAATTGGAAGTATCATTTTCAAATTTCTGACTTAATTTGATAGTAATAAAAATGTTACAAGGCCTATTACTCTAGAGATTTTGGAAGCAGGAAACATCAACTCAATTTTATAAGGTCAATAAGAAAATAAGGTATTAGCTCCTCAGTCATATCCTACTGTTTGTGACCCCATGGACTGTAGCCTGCCAGGCTCCTCTATCCATGGAATTATCCAGACAAGAATACTAGAGGGGTAGCCATTTCCTTTTCCAGGGAATCTTCCCAATCCAGGGATTGAACCCGAGTCTCCTGCATTGCAGGCAGAAATAAAGTACAATATAGTAATCATAGACTAGAAACTCTAAAGAATATTGAGGAAAAGGAAGTTCATCACAGGACACCAGATGCTTTTAATCGTTTGAAGCACCCTGCCTTAGAGTTCTAATATTTGGTAAATACTGAAAATCGTGGATAATTGTGGAATTCTGTTTCATCATTTCTGCAGTGGTTTTGTAAGGGTCAGTGGGAAATTTTTGGGAGAGACTTGTGTGTGGCAGATGGGGTGATGGTGGCAGTCATTGAGGACATGGACGGCGGCCAGCTGTCGGGGGGTGTCACCCAGCCTGTCACCAGCTGTTAAGAGTACAGCTTTCTCAGATCGCTTTCAGCCTGTTTGGATGCTTATGTGTCCATTTAATAATAGTAAAATAGCAACACGTGTCTCCATATTTGCCCCCCTGAATACTGAATGTTTATTTCATTTTCCATATCATTTCATAGGTGATTCTCAGGTTTGTTTGGGTCTTTTTTATAGGAATTATGATATCTTACTGATTTTTCATTTCCTTTCAGTTTTAGGATTCTTAACCCCTAAATGTTTTTTTCTTATGGGAAGGGAAAGGTAAATTTGATTGAAGACCACCAGCAACCCCAGTCTGAGTTGTAAAGACCCTCATGGCCATCCTCAGGGTCACTTTATTCACCAAGACTGGAGCGGCCTCAGCTGGGCGTCAGCTTTAGTTCATGGCCATAGTGTCTGCAGACATTTCCATCGGCTTAAATACGCCTTGTATACGAGCTGCCTGGTGCTATAAACATCTAACCAATCCCATCAGGAACCCACAGAAGTTTCTGATGCTCTTTAAGGGTAAACCTAAGGGTTCTTAATTGACATGTTTTATATCCATCAATATACTTCTCTTGAGGTATAAAATTCAGTCTTACTCTATTTTTTCTTGTGCTAATCTATTCCTGCTTAGTACAGAGGAATATTTAAATCACAAGGCCTTTCTCTTAATATATTCAGATTTAAATACTATTTACTATAATATCAGTCAGGGATTTATCAAAGCCAGGTGTGAATCTTCAGGGACACATTAGGCATCATAATTAACTCTTAGAACTTGAGAAAAGACTTTGACTCTAATTTTTAGTAAATATTGAAATACAAGGTATAAGAATATAAGAAGTGGAATGAATTTCTTTCTGTCTTTTCTCATTGATTTAAAAATTTTACTAATTTTTAACAATTTTTTGCAAAGTAGTTTCTTTGAGGAAATTTTTTGAAAAATATTTTAATTATCATTCTGTTTTGAATATCCTTGACTGGGCAAGAGTGTATGAAGTTTAAAAATAAAGAAAGCATAGGAGATGATGATGGTATCTGGTTTATTTATGTAACCTCCCCAGGCTTCACCCAGCTGGGGATCTGCTTACAGTTGTGTTAAGTTTAGAAAAAAGACTAAGTCGGCAAAATAGTTTTAAGTTGGTAAAATAGTTTTAAAATTTTTATATGAAATAACTATTTGATGGTTTTAAAAAACAATGTACTTGGTTGCATTAAGTATATAAATATGCATAGATTTTTAATAAATGAGCAGGTCAGGTTTAAATTTAGTTAGATTTGAAAACAACTTGTAACTAGATATATTTCCAATATGATGACATGGATTAAAAGGTAATTAAATTAGGCTAATCAGGTGCCTTTGCTGGCAGTCCTGACAAAATAAACATGTCATATTTCTTTTTAATGAAATCAGTATTTGGGGCATTAGTGTTTCATGTATATTTGTCATGAGATTTATTTTCACTTGAGGCAGTGTTCAACTTGGGTTGGAAAAGTATCACGTGAAGTTCATTAACTCCCTTCATATTGATATTTAAACCAGTAAACCTAAAAAATAGGATGATAGTCTATTATGTATTGTCCATTTGTATTTCTATATGCCCTTCCTAACTGGAGAATGAATGAAAATAATGTTGGAGGATCTTTTTTTAAGTTTATTTTGAGATTCGAATGCTTTACTATAGTAGGAGACTGAAGCTTCTTCTTTAATCTGAGATCAATTTATAGACTGTGAATAAGAGGAACCTCAACAGTGATCACTCTAATTCATTGAGCTTCTATCCTCTTAAAAAAAAATAGCCTTTCTTTGGGAAGGTCAAAGGAGTCTAATACTAAAAATCCATATACTTTCTGTAAACTAAGATAGGTTCACACAGTGTCTTCTTTAAACAGAGACAAGAAGAAATTGAAGTAGAGAGAATCTAGTAGTATAACCCAGGTATTTTGAGGATGTTGAAGTCAGATGGATGGTGTGTGCACTGCTCTTTCTAGGGATGATAAACCATGTATGTGTCAGTGAGGAGAATCTCCTCAACTGTCCTCTGTAAACAGAGATCACACGTTAGATTATTTAAGCCCCAGAAATTCACACAGCCTGCCATTGTTATAAGGCTTCCGGTCACCTTTGATAGGAGACTTTTCACGGCTCTAATGTAACCAGCCTTAAAATGAAGACACTGTGAGCAAACAGTCTTATGTTTACGGCTGGTTACTGTAGCTAGATTGCCTTTCTCCCTTCATTCTTCAGCATAGAGAAGCAGTTTCAGTGGTTCGCGGTGGTGTCGAGGTTTTGTCATCTTTCTGCTTCCACCCGTTCTTTTCAGACCTAAACGAGTGTGGCCTGAAGCCGCGGCCCTGCAAGCACAGGTGCATGAACACTTACGGCAGCTACAAGTGCTACTGTCTCAACGGATACATGCTCATGCCGGACGGGTCCTGCTCAAGTATGTCAAGAATCTTAGCTGCTTCATAACGCTCTGGGCTGACTGCACGCTGTGCCCTGCAAGTGTGTGAAAGGGGCCTCCTAACCCTCCTCCAAAGCAGGATGTGAGCGCGTTTGTATGTGTGCCTGAGGAGTGGAAAACCAGGATGAGAGCTGCCCACTGTGGATGTCTAGCATTCTTTTACCATGGCTGCCAACGTCAAATTGATTTGGAAATGGTCTTCTGATGTCATTCCTAGCACATTTCCCCCGTCTTCCATCTGGTTTTAGCACTGTTTCATGTAGAAAAAGAACCTCGGTGACCATTTGAGGACTGTTGTGCTCTCCATAAGGCTGGACAGTAAACTGTTGGCTGGTAGGGAATCCACCCAGCCTGGTTATTGAGTATAAACCACCCATAAGTCCTCACTCACTTCAGTTTTACATTTCTTGATAATAGTCTGAAGGCTAAGTTATGACTTTTTTTCTTGAAAAACCATAGTTCAAATGAAAAAAAAAAAAGCTTATAATAACTTAAAAGTAGATTTCATATGTGTCTTTGTAAGAAAGAAATGGATGATGTTTCCTACTATCATTTGGATGTGTTTTATAAATGGAAAATGGCCTAAAATTCTCTGCAGGCTGAATGTTAAATTGAGGTTGTGGTTATAGGATATCTAATAGTTAATGACTTGAATTTTATTTTTACTGAACTATCAGCTAGATCAGTTAATTATCAGTAGGTATCAGCTATTTCTAATTGGATTACATTTTATAAAATAAAAAGGTTAGCTAATTTTATTTATCATTTCATATTTACCATGGAACTTTTTGCAGTGAGGCGAGTTTATGCTTATGAACAAGTGGGAGGGCTGCTAGAATCCTCTATCCTTGTACAACTCACTGGGAAATGTGCTGTACCTGGAGACATTCAAGGGATGGTTGAGACACTTACTTGGATATTTTAGCTACGACCAGCACTTAATATGAGTAATCTTGAAAAATAACCTCAATTTCCTATTTAGCTTGGCCACTGGAAAAATTTCCAGATAATTTTTCTAAGTTTTACATTTGTCTTTTAGTTCTTCAGATGCATTAAGGATCTTCCCCAGATACTAACAAAACTGGTCCACTTCTTAATCATCTGAGGGAAGAAGGTCTCTGTGTCCTTCCTCCTATTTTTGACTTGACTTTTTTTTAGATTGTTGGAGCATTAAGCCCATTTTGTCTTCATTGTTGACTCAGTGTCACTGATTTCAGGATCAGTAAAAACCGTTACTTTAGGTCCCAGGCACGCTCTCTGTCTCTCCGAGTCAGACAGTCACTGTCTTCCCAGGTGCCCTGACGTGCTCCACGGCAAACTGTCAGTACGGCTGTGATGTCGTCAAAGGTCAAATCCGGTGCAGGTGCCCGTCTCCTGGCCTGCAGCTGGCTCCTGACGGGAGGACCTGTGTGGGTGAGTTGTAAGACCAAGCATCTCTGTCAGCAGCCTCTCGAGGGTAAGGAAGAAAATGAAATGTGGTGGAGGGAAGGGAAAAGGGCAGGTAAATAGCATCAGGTAATTAGCTGCCTTGAGAGGATATCACATGTCTCACAGGGGGACCTCCTCTCTCTCTGAAAACCTTGCGAGGGACAGGAGGAAGGTTCAGGCAGGGGAAACCGCACGAGCGGAGGCAGTGAAGTTCAGAGGGAGCAGAGTGTTCAGGGAACAAGAAAAGCTCAGTATTTCTAGGACATAAGAGGCAGTAAGTGTTGACGCTGAGCGGGTAGACAGGGCTAGACTGCGTGTACTGCGCTCAAGGATTCAATTTTTTTCCCCTGTAAATTAGGAAGGCGGTAAAGATAAGAGTGTGGGCTTCGATTTCAAACCTGGCTCTGTCATAGACTTGATATGTAACCTTAGGTAAGAGACTTCCTTTCTTTGAGCTTGAGTCTTCTCATTTTTAAAATGGGAGTAATGCCACATGGAACCCTTGTGAGGATTGAATGAGATCATGGATGCAAAGAACTTAGCATCTAGTAAGTTAACCTTGTAGTACCCTGCATGTAGTAAGCACTGAGTGAATGGAGGTGTTCGGGGACTCGAGGGGTATTTATTGAGTATTCTCTATATCCCAGACCATGTTAAGTACTAGGCTGTAGGGTAATGGACAGACCAGATTTTAATCCTTACAAAATCTATATTTTAATGGGAGAGACAGAAAAGAAAGAAATATCCAGTGAAATTACAAACAATACCAGCTGTTAATATGAGGTACTAAGACAGTGAAAATCAGAAAGGGTCTGTTTTAGAAAATAATGGTCAAGAGAGCCATAAAGTAAGGCCTGGACCGCTGGCTATGTGAAGAATCAGCCAAGCAGGTGAACATGTTAGAGAGCACTGCAGTGAAAGAGAGGCTGACTTCTTTGAGGTTTGGAAAGAAAGAAAGACCATACCCTTAAGTTCACAGTATGAGGGGTGATGGCTTAAGATACAGCCAGTGAGAGAGGTGAGGACTGTTTATTACAGGGTCACCAAAGACATGGTGAGGAGTGAGGAATGGATTCAGAAAGCAAGTAGAAACAGTTGAGATTTTGGAGCTTGGTAACAATCCCTTCTTAGGTCTCGAGAGTGAAAGTTGCTCAGTCGTGTCCGACTCTTTGCGACTCTATGGACTGTAACTGCCAGGTTCCTCTGTCCATGGAATTCTTCAGGCAAGAACACTGGAGTGGGTAGACATTCCCTTCTCCAGGAGATCAAACCCAGGTCTCCCTCATTGCAGGCGGATTCTTTACCATCTGAGCTACCAGGGAAGCCCTCTTATGCCTTAATAAAATCATTTGTTGGCAATTGAGTGGGAATGCTTTAGAGGGGGTAAGATTGGCAGAGGAAAGGCCAGTTTGGAGGCTCCTAGAACAGTCTGTCCTGGGAGAGCTTGGACTACGGTCATGTCAGTAGGTGAAGAGCAGAGTAAATGAGTTCACAGAATTTACCAGAGAAAGAAACAGCTGGGCTCGATGATTTGGAGGTTAAGGGAAATAGGGTTGTCAAGGATGACTCACGTTTCTAGCTGGAGCTCGCAGGGGGATACAGGTGTAGTGCATCCTGTGATGTGGTACAAGAGAAGGACAGCTGGGGTGGGAAGGATGAATTGAAATTTGGAGATACAGAATTTATGTTGCCTGCCAGGCCAACCAGCCAGATAACGTTTATGATGAGCCACTACGTCAGGCAGCCGTTGGCAGTTAATTGTTTATTTTAAAATCGACTCCACCTGAACATGCGGTGCTCTTCCTAAAATGCAGTTGACTTCTGTTTCTAGACATTGATGAATGTGCTACTGGAAGAGCCTCCTGCCCCAGATACAGGCAGTGTGTGAACACTTTTGGGAGTTACATCTGCAAATGTCATAAAGGCTTCGACCTCATGTACATAGGAGGCAAATACCAATGTCACGGTAATAAACCCCAACCATTTCATTGTGTTGTTTTTTCCTCTGGAGCGGAAAGATCTCTTAATTATGGTGATGACTGGGATGTCAAGGGCACAGGAGGTTACTGGCAATTAAATTAAGCAGACGTGAAATTCAAACTCTGGTAGTTCTGGATGCAGATGTACTTTATTTCTTCCCTTTATCTGCGATTTTAAGTGAACCTTCACATTGCAAAAAATTGACCTTTTTTTTTTGAAACTGTATTTTTTGTGAGTCATCGTATTTATCTCCTAAATAAACCTCTTCTTATCCTACTTCCTGATGCAGATATAGATGAATGCTCCCTTGGGCAGTACCAGTGCAGCAGCTTTGCGCGATGTTACAACATACACGGGTCCTACAAGTGTAAATGTAAAGATGGATACCAGGGCGATGGACTGAATTGTGTGTGTGAGTCATGCTTCTGTCTCAGCTCTGAATTCCAGCAGGAAATACAGGGTTACACAAAGGCCATTGCTAGAGAAGATAAGGAACAAGATTAATTATCAAATATCATTTTTCATAGCTCGTAAAACTAGTCTGTGATTTCCACAAATAAAAATCAGTTGCTCAGGTGTTTTAAAAAAATTAAAGACTAAAGGATAGACTCTAATCTTAAAAAAGCATTCAGTTTCTTGACTAAACTCTCGCAATAGCTTCTCTTTAGCTGGTAAGACATTTTAGAGCCCTTCCTGAGAATTTGATTTTGTTATAATCAGAAATAAATGTATGTTTATCATTATCATTAGATTATAATGATGGGATAATCTGAACATTTTGTGCATTTTTGTTCTTCTGGTTTATGCCCCCAATTCTACTATAAAAAAAGCATTTCTGTATTTCTCTATGTTCAGAACTGTTTCACTTTTTAAAACTTTATACATCCTATTTGTATTATGGCTATGTTAGTAGATAAACATGGAAAAAAATACCCTCCAAAATGAAAGTTTCACAAACCAAAGGCCACAATTTAGCATATATTTCATGCAGCAATAGATAAATTAAAATTTTCTGTAGTAAAATATATATTGAAGATCATGGGGCATAAAATCAGGATTAAAGGATTTTTGAAGGGTGGTCATGTAGTTATACTCTCAGTCTGGAGTAGATCATTCCAGGAAGATTAAATATCAATTCCTTTTGGTGAATACAATCAAGGACAAAGTTTCCACAGATGATTTTCATGATCTCTGGACATTTTTCTAAAAAGCAATTGTATAAATTAGTAAAGGAGAAGGAAAACCAAATATAAAACTATAAATAGAACATTTAGTGAGAATGTGTTTGTGTGAATTGAATTTATATAAAGTGTGGAAGAGAAAAGTATTAGTCTTTAGACAATTCTAAACATGATTTTATATTGCTAATTATACATGTACCATGGGGGCATTTAACATTGACTCTAAATATACATTTCTCATACTTTAAAATTTTAGAATATCTCTGCATTTAAAAAAAAATCTCATTGATTCTTGTTTCTTTCTACTTTACAAATACTTAACTGTGTTTCGATACATTTCACTATAGAAACACAATATAATTCTTGTATACATCCACCAGATATGTTTATGTGATATATGTTTATGAGTATATATATATTATATATACACATTAGTATTTGCTTTTTTTTTTTAAACAGTGTGACTTACATTAGGGGAATAATCTAAATGCAAAAAGTAAGCCTCATTGGCATGAGGTATTTTGATGGGTTTGTTTTTTACAATTCGATATCTTTCTTTTTAAGGAGAGATGGTTGTGCACTAATTGAAATATATTTACTCTTCTAGATATTCCAAGAGTAATGATTGAACCTTCAGGTCCTATTCATGTACCAAAGGGAAATGGTACCATCTCAAAGGGCGATGGAGGACACAGTAATTGGATTCCTGACGTCAGAAGCACTAGGTGGCCTCTGAAGACACCGTACATGCCTCCTGTCATTACCGACAGGCCCGCTTCTAAGCCAACAGCAAGGCCTACACCAAGGCCAATGCCAGAGCCTACACCCCCTCCACCCCCACCCCCCAAGCTCAGAACACCTCCGCCAGCAACAGCCCCAGAGAGACCGGCCACCAGACTGACAACTGTGCCACCAGTTGCCACCACCGCGCCCAGAGAGATTACGGTTGACAACAGGATACAGACGGATCCTCAGAAACCGCGAGGAGATGTGTTCAGTAAGGCATAAATGCTGCCACATTTGGGGGGATTTTTTCCCCGGTTTTTCTGAGATGTAACTGACATGCAGCATTGTAGGAGTTTAAGGACGTGCAGAATAGTGGTTTGACTTATTCTCTGCTCTACTTAGTCACTCAATTGTGTCCAGCTCTTTGCGACCCCATGGACTGCAGCCCGCCAGGTTCCTCTGTCCATGGCGGTTCTCCAGGCAAGAATACTGGAGTGGGTTGTCATGCCCTTCTCCAGGGGATCTTCCCAATCCAGAGATTGAACCCAGGTCTTCTGCCCACTTTTTAATTGAATTATTGGGCGTTTTTTTTTTTTTTTTTTTGCTATGAAGTTATATGAGTTTCCTGTATATTTTAGATACTAACCCCTTGCCACATATATGGTTTGCAAATATTTTTCCTCGTCTCTTCATTCTGTTGATGGTTTCTTTTGCTGTGCAGAAGCTCTCTAGTTTGATGTCATCCTGCTTATTATTTTCTTGCTTGTGCCTTAGGTCCCATCAAAGGAAATCATTGCCAAGACCCATGTTGAGGAACTTTCTTCCTGTTTTCTTCTAGGAATTTTGTGGTTTCAGGTCTTTTGTTCAAGTCTTGAATTCATTTCAAGCTAATTTTTGTGAGTAGTGTAAGATAAGGGTCTAGATTCGTTCTTTTACCTGTGATTATCGAGTTTTCCCAGCACCATTTATAAAGAGAGTGAAGTATTCTTGGGTCCCTTGTCAAATTTTATTTGACCTTATGTGCTTGGGTTTATTTTTGAGCTCCTGATTTTGTTCCATTGGTCTAAATGTCTGTTTTTATGCCAGTACCGTGCTGTTTGATGACTCTATCTTTCTAGTATAGCTTAAAGTCAGGAAGTGTGTGCCTACCACCGTGTTCTTCTTTCTCAGGATTGCTTTGGCTGTTTGTGGTCTTTTGTGTTAGCCACAGGCCATGTCTTGAATAAGAATCAGTTATACATAGTATAAGTCATGTATCTCTATTGTTACATATTATAAAGGGCTATATGAAAGTTTGTCAGTTGGGCAACTAAGAATGTGAGTGGAAATGGAAAGAATAAGTAGATCATAGCTCCTATTCAGTAGGAGAATTCTCCTAACCTATTCAGATTTACTTGAAAACTTTCAGAGATGGAGAGCTTAATATAGCACATGCATTTAACTTTTAATCTAAGTGTTCATTCATTCAACCAATAAACATTTTCAGTACATTTTAGAATGCCAGGCCCTGTATTAGGCACTGGTATGAAGGTAAAACAGAAAAGCATATACTCTGATGGAAAAGACAGTTGCCCTGAAGATAACTGTAGTACTTAGTGGGAGATCAGTGGAGGTAGAGAAGAGGGGTGCCTAACTGGCCAGGGACAGTGTGGGGAATGGGGAGGCTTCTTGAGTGAAGTGGGGCTGAGGGGATTAAAAAAAAGGAGGCATGGTTCATGGGCACAGCACAACAGAAGCACAAGGGTAGGAAGCAGCATAGCATATGCAGTAAACCACCAACAAACTGGCGGGTTGGGCCAAGGATTGATGAGAAAAACTGGCCAACTATCCCTTGTATTTACTGTAAACTGGTGGTTAGATCTAGACGGGAGCCAGGTTGGATTCAAGATTCCAGATTTTTAATGGGTGTCAACGGAGATAGAGACTGTAGGTAAAGAAGTTTTGAAAGGGGGGACGAGGCCCCCTTATTACTAGAACAAAATTTGCTTTGTTCAACCTCTTTTTGAGCCTTTTAATGTGTTCCTTTTTTAAAAAAAAAAAGTCTCTTTCTTCCCATTATTCCTCTCTATACCAACACACATATGAATTTAAAAATAACATTGAAGTTCACCCATAGGATTTAGCAGGATAAAACTGGGCAGATGCAGGGCTTCAATGATGTTTGAGAGCACTCGTTCTAAGAGAGTGTGATCTTAAAGACATGCCCTCAGAAAGAATTACCTTGATCCCATGCCAAGGCTGTTGGATGCTGCAGATAGCGTGGCTGTGTTGGGATACTCCTGCCAAAAATTAAATTCCACTCTCAGTTCATCTTCAGTCATAGTTGCTGGTTAAATTAGCATGGATGAGGATATTTTGGAAGCTTCTTAATTTGCTGTCTGGAGACTATAGCATATATTCCAAGTAAGGGAGTGGTTCTAAGATTTTAATTCAGAACAAACAACTGGGATTCAATTCATTGTGAAAACAGAGGAAGCTTAGCACTATTTAAGTTCAACCCCATTTATTCATGGGATATTTTCTTCATTTCCGGCATGATAATTTCTTGCTGTTGTTGTTGTTTAGTCATTAAATTGTGTCTGACTCTTTGCAGTCTCATAGACCGCAGCATATCCGGCCTCCCTGTCCCTCACTATCTCCTGGAGTTTGCCTAAATTCATAAATTTCTTAAGCCATCCTTATTCGCCACTGGTCTGAGAAACAGACTTTGGCTCTCCTCATTTCATGAATTTTCAGGTGATGTTAGTTACAGGCACTTTTGTGCAGTCTCCAAATAGCCCCTTACTTCAACTGTATTTTTCTTTACATTGAAAAATACATATGTTTAAGGGGAGAGGTTGTTAAACAGAACTTTTCTTTATAATATGAAATGTTTCGGTGTGTATGCATGGGTAGGTATGTATTGTCCCCCAAGAAAAGACTATAAAGATATTCTAAAAGGAAACCAAAGAAGAAAACAACTATAACCTATAGTTTACACCTCTTCAATATTGTCAGGTCTTGAGGGCTGATGGACACAGCCCTCAATGGTCATTGTCTCCAGACCCCATCTTAGGAAATTACACAACTGTTTTCTTGTGAACAGTTTCTTCTTTTATGAACAGCAATTCCTGTTCATAAATCTCTTCTTAGAAATACAACTTTTTAACCTATTTCGCAATCATTTTGCCTTGTCCTTTGAACATTCTTTGCTTCCACAGTCTGTCTTAAAACACAGGGTCCGAAGATACATAATAATAGTCAGATCTGAGCTGGTTACAAGGGGAATTTTTAAAACATGTTCTTCTAATCTAAATCTTTCCCCTTGGTTGCCAAGTATGTTATAGTGCAGATTTATGGGCAGGTATTTACTCACCAGGTGTTTTCCCCTTAGGTAGGTCGTATAATGCCTGGTACATAGTAGGCTCTCAAAAATATTTGTTGAATGAAGTGAAATGGATTTTTGTACTGGATTAAACTATTTCTCAAGTATTCAATAGACTATTGTTTCTTATAGTCTATCCTCAAATAATCTTATTTCAGACTTATGATCTTTCTCTTAGGCTGATGAAGCTTAATGTAGCTTTTAAAATAAAACATTCTCTGGAAAACTAAATCTAATATACTTCTAAATTTTTAAGCATGATGTTGAAAAACGGTCAAAAGACATTGGAAAAGAATATAAGACTGAGGCATATGAGAATGAGAGGTTTTTTGCTACTGTTGAGGATAGAATACATTGAACCAGAAGATACGGTTTTGATTCTCATCTCTATTATGTATGAGTTCAGTGACTTTGAACAGATTACTGTTTTCTACCTGAATGTTCTCATCTGTTAAATGGCAGTGGTATTTAACATACTCATAGAGTGCTTCAGGGATCAAACATAATACAAGTAAAAATGTTTGTGAATTATTAAATACTGTGAAATGTAAAAGATTGCTGTATTTTATAGGAATGACTGTGATGGGGAGTATTTAAATATGTGATTAAGACAATAACTTTTATGTGTGATTTGGAGTATTAAGCATGTGTTTTTTAAAAATTTCAACGTGAGGAACCCTAGGTTTTTCAGATTGTGTGAACAGAATTATAATCAGGTATATTTGCAGGACTAACCCTAGCGTGATTTAAGCAACACTGAAGTTACCTGATGGGCTTCCCTGGTGGCTCAGATGGTAAAGAATCTGCTTGCAGTGCAGGAGATCTGAGTTTGATCCCTGGGTTGGGAAGATCCCCTGGAGAAGGAAATGGCAACCCACTCCAGTAGTCTTGCCTGGACAGAGGAGCCTGGTGAGCTACAGTCTACGGGGTCTCAGAGTCGGACACGACTGAGGGACTAACACTTTCGCTTTCAGAGTTACCTGATACAGCATGAAATTCTTGTTCCTCCACTAAAGGGACAGACGGATGCTTTTCAAAGTGTGTTTCACAGAACATTAGTTTTCTGGGATATTAGGCAAGTGTATACCTAAAAAAGTTCTGAGGCTGAATAAATTGAGATCCTATGTTTAGATCATGGCATCTGGTCCCATCACCTCATGGGAAATAGATGGGGAGACAGTGGAAACAGTGTCAGACTTTATTTTTTGGGGCTCCAAAATCACTGCAGATGGTGACTGCAGCCATGAAATTAAAAGATGCTTACTCCTTGGAAGGAAAGTTATGACCAACCTGGATAGCATATTAAAAAGCAGAGACATTACTTTGACAACAAAGGTCCATCTGGTCAAGGTTATGGTTTTTCCAGTGGTCATGTATGGATGTGAGAGTTGGACTGTGAAGAAAGCTGAGAGTTGAAAAATTGATGCTTTTGAACTATGGTGTTGGAGAAGACTCTTGAGAGTCCCTTGGACTGCAAGGAGATCCAAATTGTCCATCCTGAAGGAGATCAGTGCTGGGTGTTCATTGGAAGGACTGATGCTGAAGCTGAATCTCCAATACTTTGGCCACCTCATGCAAAGAGTTGACGCATTGGAAAAGACTCTGATGCTGGGAGGGATTGGGAGCAGAAGGAGAAGGGGACGACAGAGGATGAGATGACTGGATGGCATCACAAACTCGATGGGCATGAGTTTGAGTAAACTCCGGGAGTTTGTGATGGACAGGGAGGCCTGGCAGGGTGCAATTCATGGGGTCGCAAAGAGTCGAACACGACTGAGGTACTGAACTGATGTTTAGTCAGGGCTTCCCAGGTGACGCAGTGGTGAAGAATCTGCCTGCCAATGCAGGAGACACAAGAGATTCAGGTTCCATCTCTGGGTTGAGAAGATCCCCTGGAGGAGGAAATG